GACTTGGGGCAAGGTTGAATATTTTAGAACCAAATCTACTAATTTATGATGCTGATGATGATACATGCATAATTATCAACAATATAAAACAAACATTTCAGATTCGTTTCCTTGAAAATTAATTTCCTAAAATAAAGATTTTCAACGTTTAGTAAAAAGTTTTAAAATCATGAATGATGATTAGTGGGAAAAATGTGTATACATCTCAACTAAAATAGGTTTTGTAACAGATTTTTCGTACACAGATTCACGACAGATAATTTAGCGTACACCACAACAACATACAAAAATCACGAAAATTTGCAAAGTTTCCTTTTTGATTTTTCATTCATATATAATTCTGTTATATCATCTAATTACGTTGCGTCATCAAAAGATTTAACGTGTACATAGTTTAGCAAAAAAAAAAAGATTTAACGTGTACATACCTGAAGTATGTTCTATGGCGTATAAATTTAAAAGATACGTCGCCGTTTCTTCCACCATAAATTTACTCTAAAAAATTTAAAATTACAAAAAAGGGAAATTTCTAAGCAACAAAATGAAATCTTTCGATTAAAATTATGTAGGCGTTGAGGTTGAGGTTGTTACACTCCTGACTCCTCTATCACCGAACCGAACCAAATTTTTTTGACAAACCAAATTTCTAATTCGGTATAAGTATAACATTAACAACCCGAACCGGAATTTGAAATGCCCACTCGATAAAATTTCTATATCAAGTTATTAGAAACTTTGAAATTTCATCAAACTCTACAAAAGCATAACTGCATAAGCAAACATTTCTTTTAATTGTAAAATGTGGATTTTTATGATTTTTGATACACATACCAGAGATCTTGTTTTTTTCATGTAAATAAACACAATTCCTTTACTAGCTAGCCAATGTTACAAACGATAAAACACACATGAAAAGAGTGAATTGTGTTTGAGTATACAATAAAGAAGAGTCGGTACCAGTTTCCATTTTTAAGTATCAGCTCCACTGGATGCATAAACAGCAGAAACACATGGGAACCAGTACCAGCGTTTGCCATCTTCATGACCATCATCAATCATCACAAGACCCTCCTGAAATAAGCATCGAAAAAAAAAGAGTTTCAGTACCATTAACATCACATGTATTGAAGAAATAACTAAATCCAACAGAGATAAATGGATAGCAAAAGACGACTTACCTCTAATAAAGTTTCGAGGGCATCTATAACTCGACCAGATGTCCATGAGTGTCGTCTTTGTACCTCTTCCACAGTCTCATAGCCTTGACCCTGAAATCCTCAACCCATTTCAGCTATAAACATTGAAAAGATAATGTATTAAAAAAAAAAACATTGAAAAGATATTTAGGCTCTAAACTTCTTTATGTTTGTATTACATGAGCCAACTCTAAGATTTGGTAATGGTCTTTGTTCAACTCGGTGGAGACTGAACGGACAAGCTTTTTCTTTCCAACCGTGATAACCTCAACTCCGCCACTACAAGAAAACAAACAGTATTCCGACGGAATTTCCGACGGCCGAAATTTCCGTCGGAATTTTTCGACGGCATACCGACGGATTTTCGAGCAAAATGAATCCGTCGGAATTTTTTGACGGATTTCCGACGGACA